TAATATCCTGGTCACTAACATCTGCTAAAATCAACTGTACCTGCTTTACCTGCTAACATCTGCCAACATATACTGGTAGTTGGTAACTTATCTTACCTTCAAACATACAAGGGATATTCACCATCTAGTCCTAATTTCTAAAACCATAATAAAATAATAAATATCTGTGGTCAGCAAGAGAGATTCCTCATTTCGTAATACCAGTCAAACCCTATGGTAAATTACAAAGGTCTCACTTTAAGCACAAATAACCTTTCACGAACTGTGTAAACCATAGACCGTATATAAAGATGGCTGACATGACTGCAATGCATGATGGTATACATCGCTCAGTTAGTAACTATCTATTAAAAACTACTTTTCACGGTACATAGTATAGAACTAAATTCACTGAACATTCACAGACTGGTGAACTCACTAAATAGTGACTGTATCGTGATAAGTGACTGATTCCCGTCACAACCCAAGTGTTTATTTTCAGAGTACAACAGGAAGAAGAGTAGATGTGCTGTCCATCTTTATGTACAGTCTATGAGTAAACACAGTAACTAAACTGAGTAAAAAGAACATAGCGAAAAATGCACACCTTTCTATGATGACGTCATTAATCGTGCATGCACACTCACATCCAGCTGGGAAGCAAGCAGTCCTTTAAGGTGGACAAGGGGAAAAAATGCAATTATAAAATGAATAATTAGTATGTTAGAGCAAATTAAGCCAACTAAAGAAGGGGGGGGGGGTAGTTTAAGGAAACACATCATGTTAATAGGCTGCATTTTACAGAGAGAAAAGAAAAACTCATTTACCTTGATCGGCTTCTCCACATCTCCTCCACAGAGCGATCGCAATGAGATGCGGAAGGGTCTCCATATTGGGTTTAGGTTGTTGTACACAACCTACATAAACAGGTTTAAATGAACCACAAGTCTACAACAGTTCAGTGCAAGCAAGTGAAAGAGCGGTTGGTAAATGTGTGCACCTCTGTCCTGTGAGCCAGCTGCCAGCCGGTCTCTGTCTGCTTGTAGAACTCCAGGAAAGGGTCGGACCACCACAGATACTGAACAACCACATCAGATTAATAACACACAGCATTTACAGGTGTACAAAGGAAATGAAAAGCCAGCTGAAACCACAATGTCAGACCTAAAATGAGCTTCAGTACCTTTTTGTCCATCTTGCGGCCCGACACCTCAAAATCTGCCACTCTGGTGTCTGTGATTTCTTCAGCACAGATCTATTATAAAAGAAGGAATAAAAACCCTTCAGTTAGTTAGTATTGAGAGATAACTCACATTCAAAGCATGTTCATATTTTCAACACTTAAAACTGAGTTTCTGCTTCAAAGGAACACCTTGTATGTGCAGTACAGCCAAACTCAAAGATGTTAAAGAGAAGTTAAAGCCGTACAACTATGAAACGTGCTGCAACTAATAGTACAGTGTCATACAAGGGAATATTAGGACCACAGTGAAGAAATGAAGAAATACAAATCTTGAGATTTGGAGAATAATGTCATAATATCGCAAGAAAAATTGTCAATACGCTTGAAGAAAAACGTTTCTTTTGCAATAAGCACAGAGGAGAAGGAGTCCTCGCAGGGAGTTTTCCAGAGCCAAAGTCTTGAACCAATGTCATTGTTACTTGAGGAACAATGAAATGCCTGAATATCACGCCCCTGTAATCAACAATGCAGTCAACTAAAAAATTCCACCACACCAGAGACACTTCCCTCCAAGTCTGTGTGGGTCGTTCTTAAAGTTATTCTTGAAATCTCATAATTTTTCTCCCTAAACGTTTCCCTAACACTCACTTATATTTCCAAGCCTTCAGATCACCTTATGACCTGTGTCCCTGTGAGCAGGAGGAGAGTGTCTCATTCACAGCTGATCACCTACATGCATCTATTAGAGAGGAGGGAATAGTTCACTCACTGTTATGGTCCCACGGCCTGCAGGCCTCTTGTCTGTCAGCAACAGAGATCGAGTTATCTGCTTGCTGGAAACAATCTGAACAATAACACACACTGCGTCACACTTGCACGACGAAGAAAAATGTGCAGGGAGGAGCAAAGGTTTGTGTTAAAACTGAACAAGGTGAGGCTCACCTGACCAAGGGTGCATTCAAGCTCCCCCAGAAAATCATCATCACTCAGGTCATAGGTATTGTTGTCGATGTCATACACGCAAAACTTCAGCTTCTGCACCATCTCGAAATAGTAGTCGATGATAAACTTCTTGGCAAACTTTGGATTCAGGCAGTTCAGGATCATCTCGGTGCGTCCATACTGATTGACAGGGAAAACAACACACATCTAGAGTAAGCTCAAGTCAGAGGGCTTCAGCTACATTTTGAAACTGTGTGTAAAGCTGATGAAACAATAAGGTCTGACGCCAGTGTAAATGTGCTGTAAACAAAGACACGTGATTTCTGCAGCGGAATTTACACACCCTACGTGCTCTACTCAGGGCATCTCCTCCCCTGAATGTTCCAGAAGTTGTTGTGAACGTGTCTGGCCTTAACAATCTCCTGCTACATTCACATGTGAAAGGCAAACTCCAGATTGATGGTCTCAGTTTAAATTTCCAGATTCAGGCCCAGTAAATTCAAAAATAACACTGAACTATCGGTTCCCTAAAAGTTGGTAAAATCAGTGTTTATCTTCAACATTCAAGAGGAAATATGAAGCACTCTAAAGAGAGTTTGGTGTATTTGCTTCAGCGGCAGCTCTCCTGGTTCAGAAAGCTGGGGGTCATGGGTAATTTCAAGTTCAGTAAATGGGACTATGCAGTCAGAGCTCAACTCGGCAAATTGATAGGTTTTGTTTTTACCCTACATGTAAACTAGACCATTGCTTGGACATCTGTTGGCTCAGTAAAAGTTGCTTCCCATCAAAATAAAATCTTCACTGGTCAACCTGAAAATCTAGTGTGATGACCGAATACAGACCTCATACCAGTGGGAGCCTGAAGTGTTGATGTACATGGCGCACAGAGGGTCAGACTTGGAGAAGACGTCCATGTCCAGGAGGTTTTCACAGGAGATGGTCAACTCCACCTTAGTGGCCCATTGGGTGACTCCTGGGGCTGAGGCTCCACCAGTGGCCATGGCAGCTTATCACACAAACAACGTCAGAGATGAAGTAAAAACACTCATGTTCTGTACTTAAACTTCTGTTTTAGGTCAAAAATATTTACATAATATCATAATGATAAATATTTTTGCTGCTTACAGCTTCTACTCCGAATGACTTTTAATTGATTTGTTTTTTTGTTTGAATTACTTGTGTTTCTTTTATCTTTTTATTTTTCCAATAGTTTTTTAATGATGATTTTGTTAATCTGCTTTCCTTGATTTAAAATATAATTAGTTTTCTTTAATTTGAAATGCTTCTTGAACAGATGTTTTGTATTCTTGTTTTTTAATCCTCTTGTGAAGCACTTTGTAACGGCTGTTTCCTGTGTGCTCCAGGCTTATTGTATCAAATATAGAAATGAGAATAAAGTAAACAATAAAATAAGCAAATTACATGAGACACAGAAACTAATAATAGACAAAAGAAGCAGTAAGTTGATGTGATAAAGGAGAAAGTAATATGGGATTTTATTGCACATGATATCATAATACTGCACATGATATCATAATACTGCACCTGGTATTGAAATATTGCATCTGATATTGAAATATTGCACCTGCCACATTACAGTGAAATAATATGATTCTATAATATGTATGAAGTTATTGAGAGTATTGTAATAATTACATTACAGAAACGTTTTAGATATAATATCTATTCACCGTCGCTTAATGCTGTGGTGCAATGTTGCTGAGAATGAGCGAGCCGAGTTAAAGAGCCTGGACTGTGACAGACAAACATGCGGGTATGTTGGTGGGTGTGGCGGCCTCGTGCAGCAGAACTAACACCACCGACCAAACCAGCGATCACAGACATGTTGTCTGGTGATCGATGAAGTGATCCGGACTCACTTACCTTTTACTTGTTGACAGGTAGAAGCTCGAGGCGCCTGCGGTGGTTCCGGAGACGTTTGTCTGACAGGAACAGCTGACCAGCGGGAGCGGAGCCGCCCAGAGAGCCCTCCTCCTCCTCCTCCTCCTCCTCCTCCGGCCTCCGTCTCCCAGCGGCCCACTCTCTTCCTCCGAGGTTAAACCTAAACCCGCAGTTAACGAGTCTGCTGCACTCAAACTGCACCACTGACATTTTACACTGACACACACACACACACACACACACACACACACACAACAGCCGGGATTGTGTTACCGCGGAACTCCAACGACTGGGCTTGTTTCCCGTCGACTTCATAAGCGGGGGCACAGAATTCCCCGGGCTGCGTTCAAGAGCCACATGTGTTTTCCGCTCAAAGACCCCCCGCTGTGGAGCTGTGTGTGGAACTCATTGGTCGGATGTGGTGGAACTGTTGCTGATTGTTTTCAATGACTTTATGAACCACTTTGTCGTCAGGTCATGAGGAGATCACGTTTAAAAATGCTAATATGTCACAAACGCAATCTAAACGCAATATTCAAATCAAAAGTGAGCTTAAAAACTAGGTGAAAATACAATCTGCAAAACATAAACCGAGGAAGAGTTGTTGTGTGAATTTAAGTCAACAAGTGAACCTTTTAACACATTAAACCAGAAGCAGGGATGTCCTTCAGCAGCGTTTTCTGCCCGCGCGCTTGAATGCTCCCTGCTACAGCTGTGTGTAAATACCAGGGGTTCGAACGTGTGGAACTTGGACCTGATGGCTGCTCGGGTGTTGACGCGGTTCGTGTGCAGGACTTTACCGCCGGTGCCCGGTGCTAAAGGCGCCGGTGTCCGGAGAACACACCGGGTTTACTGCACCACCTCCAGGAGGAGCGCTGCTGCTCTGACCGTAAATAACAACCCGCTCCATTCTCACGTCACATACATCACCTTTCCGAGTGTCGCGAAGTGTCGCTACCTGCGTTAACCGCGTTATATACAGATTATATGATGATATATTGTTATCATTAATAAACATTTGACAATAGCAATCCAGCACTATTGAAAAAGTTCAGTCTCTTAAAGGTCCAGTGTGTAGTATTTAGATCTATTGATAGACATTTAATATAAAACAATCCTTGTTTTAACTCAATTTTAGGAACTGATGTTTTCTTCACCCTAGAATTGGGCTTTGCATTGAAATACTTTACATTGAAATAGTTTATATTGAAATACTTTATATTTACATCAGGAGCAGGTCCGCCATGTTTTTTACATTAGTCCTAACTGGACACAGTAAACATCTTTGGAGTTGTCATGACAACTGCGGGCCACACAGGTTCTCTGTGATGTTTGGGAGGAGAGGATGAGGTGATTCTATTTTGAGTGAGGGCCACTGGTGACAAATAAAAGATTAATATGATGATATTATTATTTCAGGGTTTCCTACGCTGTGTTCATTTAAACCAGAACTTCACTTTCAAGTCTTAACACTGTCACTTGAGAAATGAATCCAGAATAATATCATCTATTTTGTTTAATTTTCAAATGTGTGTGATTCTAGCCTTTATTAATTCTAGTCTGGATTATTCTAACCCAGCTTCTACATGCCTTAGCCAAACATGACTGTGCAGCTTAAGTGTGCTTGAAAAAACCAGCATACTATCCACAACATCATGAAAGCATGATCATACCCTATTTTAGCTTCCTGTCACTAGCTGCCTGTGTGTTTAAGAATTGGTTTGAAAACAGTGTTGTTGACGTCCGAGGCCCTGCATGCTTTTGCATGGAGCTACTTAGCTGAGCTTCTTAATCAGCCCTCACCAGCCTGTAGCTTGAGAGATAAGACCCTGTTAGACATTCCTCAAGCCAAGGGTAACAGATTCCATTTGCTGTCAGGGCCCAATAACTGTCTGGAGTAGTTAACATGAGGATCTAGAAACATCGCTGTTTGAATTAACTTCATCTCTCAAAGCTGACTTCTACTAGATGCCTCTTATGTAATAGGATTTACTTTTTATGTTTGTTTTATCTCTCTCTCTCACCATTGCTTTTAACTGTTTGTTGTGTTACTCCACTTGTCTTTGACTTAAAGTAATGTATTATTTTAGTTGTTGTTTTTTCTTCATTTGAACTTTGTAATAGCTTTTTTTTTAAAGTTGCCAAAAAAACCAAGGACTATATAGAAGACACAGTGGATGGTGGTAATGCACCCTGATGTCGGTTGTCACCGCCAATAAACCAAACAGTTCTAACTGCTGAGAGCTCTTCAAAGCTGCTGCTGTCCTGTAGTAGGTGAAAGGTTAGCAGCAGCTCTGTCATTAGAGCAGGTTCAGTATACGGTTTAACTGCTTTGTAGTTTATCAAACTCTTCTGTGAAGAGAGCAGTGACCCGCGGCCCCTCAGGTTATGTCGTGGCCAACTCAGGCTGATCATCATAAATACCACCAGCTGCATTAACTCTGTAACCTTTGACCTCCTTTTATACACACAGAGTGGAAGCGTTGCGTTGGTCCTGGGGCTGCCTGCTCTCTCCTGCCTGGGGTATGGAGCTTATCACTGGGTGCAGAGTTCAGCAGTGCTCCATGCTTCAGGAAAAGGTAATTGGCAAACTGCTTATCCCAGAGAATGGGGAAACTGTGGTGGCCCTGGAGAGCAAATCACAAAAACACAAAATGAAAACATGACGACAAAATCCAGAAACACAATGTGGCATTTAACGTAAAGAGTCATCGCTGAGTGGATGGATGCTCTGTCCATGTGTCGATGTGATGATATGTAGGTGTGTTTTTTCTTATTTGCTGTTGTGATTTATTGTTGTTTCATTTAAAAAAAAACATGTTATAGCTTTCTTTTTTTTTTTTTTTTTTACTGAATTAACTGTTGTGTGTTTGTGTGTGCACAGAGGAGGTCTTGGAGCAGGCCGACTACCTGTACAGCTCTGCAGAGACGGAGAAGCTCTACCAGCTGCTGCTGCAGTACAAAGACAGGTGAGGGGGCCACTAGGGGGCACCAAAGCAAAGGATTTCAAACACACTACATCTATAATATCAGATAACAGTGATTCATTGCTTTGTCACACACACTACATCTGTATACACTCATGTCCACCCAGTGATGAAGCAGAGGTCCTGTGGAGGTTGGCTCGGGCGTCTCGTGACCTGTCCCTCCTGCCCAACATGGAGGCCAAGCGGAAGAAGCAGCTGATATACGAGGCCTTTGAATACGCCAGGAGGGCAATGGAGAAAGACGACCAGTGTTTCGCAGCCCACAAAGTAAGACACTGGTTTCAGTTTCCCCTTTAATTCTTCAGGGACAGATTCAAATTGAGCAACAGGATGTTTATCCGCCCTTTATGACACAGTTGGGTACGTTTTTAATAAAAGCTTTTAAACTCTCAGCTTTGTTCCTCTCCTGACAGTGGTACGCTGTGTGTCTCAGTGACGTCGGGGATTACGAGGGAATCAAAGTGAAAATTGGGAACTCGTACATCATCAGGGAACATCTAGAGGTGAGAGGACATCGGGTCAGCGTGGCATTACATCACTGCATCACGACTTATTATATCCTAAAGTGAAACATGTGTCTTTTTTTTTCCAGAGGGCTGTCAAGCTCAATCCCAAAGATGCCACTTCCTTACACATCTTGGGTTACTGGTGAGTTTTTATATTTTTTGGGACCTGAAGTTAGAAACAGCCAAGTCTGTTTTAGATTTGACACCTCTGCATGTTTAAAAGAAAAGAAACTTTGTGAACCCCCCCTAAAAATTTTTTTTTTTTTATCTTTGCCATATGTTCTTTCAAAGGGGAAAATACTGCTGCTGTTTTAAATCTAAACCTAAAACATCACTTGTGTTGTGTTTTTCCCTCCTTTGCCAATCGAAGTTTACAGAGTGTGATGTGACTGTGCTGTGTACCGGACAATAGTTCACTACCACAAACCTTTTCTTAGGTATAAGGATCATGGATGATTTAAACTATATATTAAACCACTCTCAACCAGACTCTGGCCATGTCCTCCACTTAAAATTGATCCTGTACATAGACTGTATATAAAGATGGATGACGTGTCCCCACTTCCTCCCAGTATCCAGAAATTGAGCCCAAATACCTCAAATACAAACACTGCTATCTTGCACATTTGAAGCCAGAGTCTGAATCTCAGTGATCGAGGAGAGAGCTTTGGTATAGCAAGGTCCCCATGGTAACACATGCCCCATCAGTTACGAGTCATTCTTATAGCACCAAAATGTTTATTTCTGTGCGTGATGTGTCGTAACGTTTGAAAACACTTTGAAGATTCAGACAAACCATAGATATAAGTAATTCATATAAGACTTTTAAACAAACAGCTTTGAACAAGTTTTCCATGTCAAACACACGCACTGTACCTCACTGTGTGTAAACGGAACTCTAAGTTTATTTAGATGAAAACTTGCCAGGGAAGCGTTAAGGTTTTTATTCTGGTAAAATAATCCTCATGTCTTGTCTTTCTCAGGTGCTTCGCTTTTGCCGAGCTGCCGTGGTACCAGCGCAAGGTGGCGGCTGCCCTTTTTTCCTCGCCACCTGTGTCCACCTACGAGGAGGTGAGGCCTCCTCTGCCTTCATCACTCGCCACGTCTCAGTGACATGAAGTTGGAGCAGCTCAAGGCTGAGAAGCATATCAGTTATCTGTCACTAGAGTTAACAATCTTCTCAAAGCCGTACAGTCACGTTTTTCTGTCTTTCTCTTTCAGGCTTTGGAATTCTTCCTGAAAGCTGAAGAAGGTAAAAGTAACAAAAAACAGCTGCATACTAATAGAGTCGCCGCGGCGGCTTGCTCTCCTAATGGCTGCTGATCGAAGTCTTTTTCAGAAAACACGACGGCATCACGCTTGTAAATGAGGACTTCAAAGGTGTGAAACGCTCATAAATCTCAAAAAGCGCGTTCTTTATTCTTCTCAGTTGATCCTGACTTCTACAGTAAAAACCTGCTGATGCTGGGGAAGACCTACACGGCCATGAAAGACAAGCAGAAAGCTCTGATGTGGTTAACGAAAGCCAAAGATTACCCTGCTCACACGCTGGAAGACAAAGAGGTGCGTGCAATAATGGGATTTTACGGCTTTATCAGCAGGTAAATGTTGAAAGACCTCAGGGAAGATTGTGAACAGCTGGTTTACAGTATGTCTGCACCTTTGCAGGTCCATAAAGAAGCCGTCGACCTGCTGAAGAGACTCGGATGACGCCAACCAGGACTGTTAATAATTCCTTTCTTTCTTATTAGGATTTTTGCAGTTAATTCATAACAGAAGAATAATGCCTTGCACACTGGAGTCCCTCTTGCCTTTGACTCAATAAGCCAGAGTCTAACTTCTGTTTAAAACCATAATATAATTAAAAATATATGGAGTGTACATGATCAGTCACTGCATCTGTTCAAGAAAACAATCAAGTGTTTTAAAGGAAACATTGAATAACCAAACTGTAACGAGGAGCTGTTTGTACAGTTCATTGTGGAAGTTTCTAGAGTTAATTTTTTTTTCACTGTTAACCTGGATTTGTTTTGTCTTTTTTGACAATTAATTCATTCCTGACTGGGGAAAACTTCAAATCTACTTGTACTGAATGTAAATCCTTCTGTTAATTTACTATTAAATTAGAGTTTAGAGTTTTGAACTCTAAAGTGGTTTTGTCAGTCTGCATCATATTCCCCAGAACATAAAGTAGCCTTATCACAATTTAAACAAAACAACTGGGTTGCAACAAGCAGGTTTCAGGTTTGATGAAACTGAGCCAAAGCTGCTTGAATTCTAAGAATTGAAATCAATCAGATACTTGATTCATCTTGACACACAACATCCTGTCTACCATACACTACAATTAATCCAATGGGGAGCCCACTGATTTTCCTTCCAATTAGGAAAGGTAAAGGCTTTGGAGTTCATGGCAGGTTTATGAAAACAGAGACGGTTAATGCACAATTACAATAAACCAAAAGCAAACTCAATCAGTGGAATCTGATTTCAGATATGGGCCAGGGAATCAAGATTAGCCTGCAGCTATCAGACTCTCAAACTGATTACTTCAACTGATTGTCCAAAAATGAATTCAGAGCAGCTGTAAAGATGGTCAGATACATTTATTAAATATGCTTCTTTCCAAAGGCAAAATCCAATCAGAACAAAAACGGATAAACCCAGAGATCATTGTTATATTTCTCTTTTAAAGAACAGGATAAAAAACTTTCCTTTGGTTCTTGTTGTGAATCCTGAGCTGAAGGCCTCTAATCCCATTGCAAGAAATAAGACAGCAAGCGTGCTCACCGAGGGGAGTTCATTCACTTATTTATTTGTATCTCATAAATCCATCTCTCTTCATTTAAAATGGGTGAAAGCAGATTAAAAATGAATCTATACACATCGTCTCCAGTAAAGGGGCATTCTGTACAGTGTAGGTGGTGTTTACAGTGTGTATCTACACGCGATATGTTACAGTCTGGTCGGTTTCAGGCGGCCTGCAGCGCAGGCGGCAGATAAAACAGCGTCGTGAAACAGCTGCACCGCTCCAGGTCGTGTGACGTCTACTTCCTGGCTACGATCAGGCGACCTGAAACGTCCCATCTATTTCTGATAAAATCAAAGGCATCACAGATTTCCATCAATGGAGTGATGGCTCTGTGTAATTACTTATAATATTTAAGTACTTTATTTACTTTCATTATCTTTATACAATGAATATTCACATACAGTTGATTTTCTTTGATTACAGGTTTCTGTTTAAGAGGAAGCACAATGTTATGCAGTTTTGAATTCTCTTTAAAAGTCGGCTCCTTTTGCTACAGTAAATGTTTGTCTTCACACAGGCGTCCCCTCCTCCTCCTCACTGCTCGTCCTCAGGGACAGCTCATCATCATGTTATATACAAGACTGATGACTTTAATCACAAGCCCCCTTCTAGAAAAGGTCTAAAGCAACTTGCTGCTGTTCGCAGTGATCTGGAGAGACACAATGCTGTAGAAAACAAGGAGAATGGCCTGCCACTGACAAATCTGTTTTTTTTGTTTTGTTTTAGACCACTGACAGAAATAATAAGCACCAGAGTTGTCACTTAGAAACAATGGACATTTTGAAAAAACAAATAGCACATCCCCTGAAGCATTACTGGAAAAGATGATCAGGCAGAGAAGGTATTGTGGCCGAGATGTCTCACACAAGTACATTTAAGGAAAACATGCATTCAAACCCCACAACACAACCACAAAAGCCACACAACGAAAACAAAGTCACATCAGAAGTGAGTGACAACGGATGTTGACAATGAAACTTGAGAACATGAATCACTTCCACTGAAGTTCTGTTTCTGTTGTGCTGTCACTTTTGCAGTTGTGTTGTGGCGTTTGCATTGTGTTCCCTTGTGTGAGAAGTCTCAGCCATCGTATAAAGGCGGAGCAAGAACAAAAAACGACGCACATCGATGCATCATCAGGCTTCAGACAGACCTCAGGCTTCCTCTGTGAAATGAGTCCACACACACACACACACACACACACACACAC